GATCTTTGATTTATTTTGTCAATAAAATTCTTCTTATCTTGTAAAATTTGTTTACTCATTTAGATATTTATTTGCTGTAGCTTGGAGCAAACTTATTCTTATTGAGACGAGCAAAACTCTGAGGAAATGGTATTGTTATAGCTCCACGATTATGCATCCTATTGAGACGAGCAAAATTCTGAGCAAAACTTTGAGGAAATGCTTTGACATTGCAGCTTTAAAGATTGACAACAATATACCAAAGCAACTGTAATCAATCTTTGATTTTTGAAGTAGATACTTTTGTATTTTTAGAATCAAGATGTTTGAAATGTAAAATTTAAAATGGATTATACTAAATGCTTATGTTGCATGGTCTCCTTGTTGGGTCCAAAACTTTTTTGGTTCGGGTCCTATGTTTAACTGCTGTAATTGGTTTAATATTGTGCGTGTTTGGAACCGTTTTTGAAAATGGTTTTCACATATTTTGAGAAGTAAAAAATAAAAATAAAAATGAAACGACATTTATTTAGCAAATATTTTGAAAATAAAAATGAAAACGAAAACAGTAAGAATAGTTTTTGTGAAGAAATTAAAAAACGGTTGAAAGTTGTTTTCCCTTTTTTATTTTCATGTACTTATTAATAATATTATAATATATTAATTAATAATTATAACTAAACATAATTTCACTTTTTTATTATACTAAAAACAATCTCTTAAAAAACTAACTAAATGCAATTTTAGAATCAGTCCCAGAATGATTCTCAAAATAATTTCATTTTTATTTTTTATTGTAAATAAAATTATTTTAAAACCAATTCTAAATGCATCCATTGAGATGTTAATTTCATCATAAATATTTGGTGGATAAAATTATCTTATGTTATTCGGCTTCTTTTTCTGATTAAAAAACATGAAAGGCAACATGTAGTTGTTTCCTGTATAACGATACCTCTTTTCTAGGCAATTGAAACATTTGATAGAAGATAGTAAGAGTCATAGTTTTCTGTGCAAGATTATCTATTCCTCCTTTCTTAAAGTGCAAACTTTTTTTTTTCCGGGAACAGCTGAAGCCAAAGGTCCTTCTTGCTCTGTTTTCACTTAGGAATTACAAGAAAATGTCAAAACTGTCTATTTGCCTTTTTAAATTAGACCGTGTATATTTTTTATTTTCATATTTATTTGTATAATGGTTAAAGAAAATCTCAACATTGATGCATTCAGATGTTGGGAAGTTACACAATCTCACCGTACTCGCATCATGTCCATTGTTTCAAGGTACGGTCTACTACTTGCCCATAAGGAAGAGCTTGGACGACTCATACCCTTGGAGCAAGGAAAGCCTCTAAAAGAAGCCTTGGGTGAGAGAATAAATCTACCAAAAACTCTTGAGAGAATAATAAATTAATACAAAAATAAAATTTAAAAAATTTTATATCGATACCTGCCAAAAATTTAACAAATTGAATACTCACATGCCTAACACGTTCTTCCAACTAGTAAGTTAGAAAGGCAAGAAAGAAAAGTAGAAATTGTGGTACTCCAAAGGCTAGAAAATCTTTTTTACGAGTTTAACTTTGTCTCCTTTGCCTTTGATGTTTTCGGTTAAGTGCAAGCACCCAGGGTTGAAATGAACTCTTATGGAATAGATCACATTCAGAATTTCATTTGCTTAAAAAGAATGAATGTGATATTAGCTATTTCTCTATCAGTCCCTGTATTCTCTACAAGTCTTCTTAAAATATATGGTTGTCATTACTAGTTAATGACAATTGAATGTGATTTGTCGACTGCCCTTCTGATGGAGTTATCATAGTGCCTATTAATAGATACACGCACCACACACACCTTAACAGAAATTGTTCATGTTAATAGATAACTGTTGTTTATTTTTAACAACTCAAACCTAATAATTCAAATCAAATAGTTTAAGATTTATATTGATACTTGGTAGAGAACTAAATGAGGACAATTCAAATCATTGACAATTGTTCAAACTTTAAACCCTTAATTTTAGAATTTACCTTTTCCTAAATTCTAACAATCCGAGTTGTTTTCTATAATGAAAACAATTCGGATCTTACTTTCTCTCTCTGCTCAACTTCAAGCTTAAATTGTCATGACTTATTCGTTTTAATTACGATTAAGATGTTTTCTTCCTCAATTTGTTCATAATAAAGAAATAAACAAATCCCCATCCATATTACACATTTTTAATGTCATTTACAAAAAGGTTTTATAAGATTTGTTACAAAACTCTAATGACTTTCAACACTTTATTCAAACAAAGTTCGGATTATATTCCCATTTCAAATTAAAATTTATTTGTGTATCTAAATACTGGTTCGAATCACCATTTCAAATTACTACAATTCAAACCAAATCAGACAATCCTAACGGCGAATCAAAGAAGGTCATAGTGTTTATGTCCGTTTCTTTATGTATTTATTTTGTTTTGTGTCTGGAGCTTCCCTTTCTTTATGTTTGGATATCCTTGAATTCCTTTCCATGCTGATCCTTCTAAACATTGAGATCATTGTGCAATTCTTAGGTACTTTTTCTATTTTATTAGACCCAAAATCTAGAGTTTTCTCCATCATGAATGGACTACAATGAGCAGGGAAAGCCCACACAAAACCTCACTTCCTTCAACAACATCTCCCATAGCCTTCCAGCTAGCTTACAGTGTAAAAAAATATGATCAATAGTTTCCTCAATCCCCTTTACACAAGACACATCAGGATGGAGAGATAACCAACTGAGCCTTCTCCCTTTGTACCCCGTCACAAGTATTCAATTTCTATGAAAAACCAGCCAAGTGAAAATATTTGTCATATGGGGAACACTAGATTTCCAAATAAAATTGAAAGGTTCAAAAATTAGAAACTTAAAGTATTTCGTGTGCTCTTATTATACATTAATAATGTGTATATATTTGATGACTCATAGCTAATGGGTAATATTAATACATGTCATGCTCCTTAAGGACGTCTAATTCTAGTTCTCCTATTTGTTGGTTGACAGTGTTTCTTGATCCAAGAGAAAAATATACGACTTTTTTGCCTGAAGAGCATTGATCTTTCATTTTTTTTTTATAATTTCTTTATAATATTGTGTTTTAGATGAGAAACATGATTCCTCTATTTTTTTTTATAATCTCTCTGTTTTATGACACATGTTGTTGTCAATATTATATCTCTAGGTGACAGTTTCCAACTTCAACACGTTTTATCTCTTTTCTTTTCTTTTTTTTCCTTTTGGCACGTTAATGTTAACTTTTCTAAATGTTGACACGTTAGACACTTTTCTGACTAGAAATGAATCCAACATGTTAAAATGTAGAGCAAAGTAATGGGGCCCAATATCTTCTTCTAACTTCCCTTTCTCTTTCTTTATACTTCTGTTTCTCTCCTCTTTTGTCTTTGCAAATGAGGATGAACAATGAACAAACTTTTGATTTCGAAAAAGAAGAGAGAGGCTTGTTAAAAAATAAAGGGGAGGTGTTAGATTAGTTTTCCCAGTGAAATTGTAGCAAAAGGGTTCAGGTTTTTCTAGGATTTCAAATACAAAAATGGATTTTCATTATATTAGGCCCGTTTAATTTATTGATTCGAGTTTTTAATACGAGTTGAAATGTAACTTTATGTGAGAGTTTTTTACTGTAGTAAAAAAATTAGATGTGACTATTTATAAGAGTTTTTTACTGTAGCAAAACTCAAATTTTAAACTCAAATCAGCAAAATAAACAGGGCCTTAATTTAGTTTTTATTTGAATTTTAAAGAACCATAGGTTTTTTTAAATGAATTTTTCAGGTGCGATCCAACCAATCAAAGGTCATTACAATGTCATTTAAAAGGAGATTTGGGAGTTTTTGATGTTGGGTGAAGTTGGGTCTAAGCTGTGTACAAAAGAGAAAAAAGTCATCCAATTTGGGAAATTGTTGTTGCTTGTTGAAATTCAGCATCTCACATGCAAAGCAAGAAAACCCACCTCAGTACCAAGAAAAAATGTAGATTCTTGTGGGTTTTGAGGAGTGGTCTCCCCCCGTTGAGTTTGCTAGTTTTGTTTGTTTCTTATTTAGGTCTAGTCTTTTGCTTCTTAGTCAAAGTGATTGTTCCTCATTTGTGTTTTTATTATCTGAGTAGTCTGTCGTCTTCGCGTTATAGGATGTCTTTCTGTTCTTAATCCTGCGATCGAGTTTTTTTCACGGAAAAAAAAAATAATTAGTAGAAGATCACCGGATAGAAGTTAAAGAGATATAAGAAGAGTTAAATAAAAAATACCTTAATGATATATATATATATATATATATTTTTTTTTTTTTTTTTTTGAGAAAAACTTGATAGGTATTTTAGCATATGAGTAATAACACACTAACAAACAAACAATCATAAAAGGAGGCGGCGCTATCAAGTAAAAACTGTCTCCCTTCTCCAACGGTACATTTTCCCTCTCTTGTCGCTCTGTCTTTTCAATCTCTTTCTCTCCTCTATTTCTTCTCTCTTTCTCTCTCTAGATCTCACGGCCATGAAGCACTTCATGCAGCCAAGAAACGCAATCTTGAGGGAGACGACGATAGAGTCTCCGGCCTCGCCCAGCCCTAGCGCGGTCAAGCCCCAGCCGTCGCGGAAGCAGAGGGGCTCCCAGGGGAACGCGCCGCGCCAAGCCCCGGCCGTCGCGGAAGCAGAAGGGCTCCAAGGAGAACGCTCCGCCGTCGGATCCGAACTCGTTGCCCCCGATTCCGGAGCACTCGCCGGCGATTTCCACCCTCTTGACCTCCACTTTCTCCCAATCCCTCGTCGGACATTAATGTCGCCGGATAATGACCGGAGTTTTCACCAGCAATCGCCGGATTCTGCTCTCTCACGTTCTCATCGGACCAGATTGAAACATTGTTGAAGGAATGATAGAAGTTTTCCCAAACAATCGCCGACATTTCTCTCTTTCTTCCTCATTAGACCAGATCCACCATTGAAGGTTTGATAGAGTTTTTCCAAAGAAATCGCTGCTAAATTCTCTCTCTTCCTAATCTGACTAAAGAGTTGCAACTTACTTCTGGATTTTTGGTAATTTTTCCCTCTCTGTGTTGTGGATTTTTACTCAGTTATCGTTTTCTTTTGGTTATTTTCTGTATTCTGAGAGACATTAAGGTTAACAGGGGTGCCAATAATTGATTGGTTATTGTTCTTTAGAATTATGATTCGAAATTTTAGGGTATGAGGCTTCATTTCAAATTATAAAGTATATTTGGTAAATCTTGATATAAACAGTAAACACGTGATTCAGTTCCTCCTATGTTCTCTTATTACTCGATTATCAATACATAAATTTGGTGTTTTCTCGATGCTTGTGGCAGATGTTTAAAAATCAGTAGTGATTTTTAGTGTTGAAGCTTTTCATTGCCAACAAAGTTTAGAGATATGATTGAGACTATTGGAATGAATAAAGTAGAAGTGACTATATTTAAATCTCTTTTCTGTTCAAAACCAAAGGATAATTACTTTAGATCCCTCATTCAAACTAGTTATGTCACTGCTCCTAATCTAAAAACCAACGTTTCAGTTTGTTAATTGTTTAATAAGATACTATCTGTAACAAAGGTAACTTTCTATACTACTCTTAAGTGCCTTTTTGAGGTAAATGCAGAAATCAAGGGTGCTGGTCGACTTCTTCCTTTTGTGAATTGGTTTTTGTGGCTTCTTTCAATTGTGAATTGGTTTGTTTCCTAGGTTGTTTGGGCTTCCTTTCTATGAATCAATTGTGGGTACCGGATGAATTACTTTTAGCTTTTTGTGTTGGACTTATTGACTTTTGCTAACTACTCATTTTTCCATTTTTTTTCTTCTCTCATTTGCAGAGAAGATGGCACATGGCACAACTGATGAATAAGTCGAGGCTCTCATTGACCAAAGCTTGATGAAAGCTTTATATTAGCTCTCAGGTAATTTTAGAGATACAGAGATAAACTTGGGTGCTACTGGTTGTTGTTCCTTGGTTGTTGTTCTGTTATTTGTGTTTTGCATAGAGCAATGTTAGAAAACACATTTGTGCATGTGTGTGTCTACTACAATGGATAGTGGTCTGAAAGAGGGTAACTTGCTACATGGTCTCTGCTAATTTCTTGCTAATTCCATCTCAAGTGTTCTCTTTTTGCTAGTTTCCTTTTTTGGATTACTAGGGAGAGGAAAAAGTTAATTGTTTTCTAGAATATCTAATTAATTGTTTTCTCCAGGATAACATAAGTGCATTATTTAGTGGGTAGATTTGATTGTAGAGGGGACCAATTTTTTTCATTTGCAATATTCAGTGTATAAGGCTAACTTTGAACTTAGTTTTGCTCTTCTTGTTATTGAATTGATAGATTGCAAACTGAATAGCCAAAGAAAATCTCAAGGAAGCAACGTACAATGTAAGTCCTCTGTACTATTAGATTTATGCATACAAAAATATTTCTATTGTAGATAGAAATAGATTAAATGTATCAAACTGATTTTCTTTCTCTATTATTCTCTTTTTGGTGTTTCCTAGCATGTGTGAAAAGTCCAAATTTTGTTTCTAATCTTTGTTTCTCTATATTTTCCTTCTCTTGCCATGGGTTTTGTAGAAATTCAGTTTAAGTATTTAAAATTGTATTTGGATTTTTAGGGATTTGAAATACATGTAGGTCCAAAAATCGTAATTGATGATGTAAAGCCAATAGCCGCGGATGATGACAACGATGGTGATCCCTTGTTTGAATCTCTAAATTGATTTTTAGGTAAATTGATGTTTGAAGCTCTCTTCTTCTCTGAGCGAAATTGTTTGATTTCATGATAGTTTAATAAGAATTTTCTTTTTCCCATCAACTTCACTTGTCTTATCAGTAATGGTGACAAAACAACGAGGAATCTAGAGTTTTTGCTTCCTGTAACATTTGAGTGAGTAGAGGAAGAGCAAGTGGGGTTTTGGGGGTGTACTTTTTTCACTGAAAACAAGGGAAGAATCCTTTTTGACTTTTTTCTTAATTGTTATATGTGAAAACTCCCATATTGACATAGATTTATAGACTCCAACAATACTTTTTCGCAGTTGGGTATGGCTAACCTAATGCCTTAGGAAGTAGGATCTCCTAAGAAAAGCTGCTTCTTAAGATATAATTATGTACTATTATTCAAATTGAACTATTATTCAAATATAGGTGTACGAAGAATTTAGCCGGGTTAATATTTTCTTTTAAGTTCTTCATTTTTTATGTATTTCAAATAAGGAGTTATGGAGGTTTGTAGGGAAGGTCTCAACAACCTTTCTTTACTTCCTCCCTCAGACAAGCCGCATTCACCTTATTGGATTATACATTAATAACATCTCTGTTATGCAACAATCTTTTCATACAACTGCGTGGAACTTTTACTTTATTCTTAATAATGATTTTTGATTTTTGCTTCAATTCCCTTATTTATAATTTTTAATTTTTTCAGGTCCAATTTGATGTCATCAACAATTTTTGATTCTTGAACTTCATCATGTCTTATTTCTTCTTACAGGCCGTTTTTTTAATATCACATGATTTATTCTTGCTTGTTCCTTGGATAGAAGAAGGCATTTATGGTTTGATCTCTATCTGCCATGGATTGTATCTATTTTAGATGCTTTTCGATTGCTCAAAGTAATCTATGTTTCAGAAGTTATTTTATTAAGTTTTTCATTTTTAGTCTCTATATGAGAGTTTAAAAGTAATCTATTATTATGTTTCTCTTTATGAGAGTTTCATAAGTAAAGATGAATTTGTTATTATTTGCTATACATATGTTTCTTGGTAAACTACATCTCTTGTTATTCATTCTCCTTTGTTTTCATTATCTCGGTGACCTACACTAAGTACGGATAAAAAAAGAATGGAAGGGTTTTTACTCTTCTATTTTCATGTTGTTCGTCTTTTCCGAGTTGAAATTGACCACTTTACAGGATCTTCTCAACCATGTTATCCTTCTTTTAAGTTGGGTCCCATTTTATTTTCTCTATATTTTTCTATTTTTTTGTTTGTATTATTATTTACTATATATTTTGTTTTCTATATTTATTATGCTATTGGTGATCCTAGGTACTCGTTGATGCTTATTTCTTCTCCACGGTTGCTGCTATCTTATGTCTTTTTCTTGTTCCGGACGGTTTGGTTAATTATGATTTTGCTCTTTGTTAAAAGGCTAACCGTGGTTTACCTTTCATGTTTCTTGGATAAGAAAAGGACATTAATGGTTGGATCTTTGTCCGCCACGGATTGTATCTGTATTTACGGATACTTCTACCCTATCTTAAAAAGAAAAAGATAAGTTCATTCTTTCTCTTTTTTTTTTTTTTTTTTTTTTTTTTTTTTTTTTTTTTTTGCAATTGAATAATTTAGTTCTTTTATACCATCTCTTATATTTTGATATTTTGTAGGTCCAACATGATGTCTCCATCAACCTCATGATCTTATGATCTTTATGTCCTTTTCTTCTTCCAGGCAGTTAAATAAATCTTATGTGTTGTTTTTCTTACATCACGTGATTTATTCTTACTTGCTCTTTAGATAGAAAACGACATTATTTGTTTGGATTTCTTTCCACTACGGATTGTATGTCTTTCTACTCTTTCTACTCAAAAAAAAAAAAAAAAAAAAATCAAATTGTTTGTAAAATTTGAGGTTCCAAATTGCTTGTAATTGACGAAGATAAGTTTTCCTTATGAACTCAAAAAGTTTGTAAAATGAGTTGAATTTCTTGATTATAATGAAAATGAGTTATATTGTGGAGAGTTCTCATATTTTCAAATAAATAGCTATTTGTTCAGCTGCTTTATTTGTTTTCCAAATTGTAAACTGATTTAAAGTCTCACATTCTAAAATTTGTGGCTTTTCTTTTCCTTGCCTGTTCAGTCTCAGAATTTTCGTTATTATTAAACTTCCTACTATGGTTTTGTAGGTATTAGTGCGAATGAGGCCACCACGCAAAGACAAGGATGAAGAAATGATAGTTCTGAAAATTTCTAATGATTCTTTGGCAATCAACGGGAAAACTTTTACATTCGACTTGGTGGAGATATGAGTTTCTCCAGCTACTTGAATGAATAGTTTGCTTTAACCTTTAAATGATTGAGTTTGATCACAACTTTCTGTTGCTGCTAGATATTTTCCAACTTATGGGAGCACCACTTGTTGAAAATTGTATGACATGTTTCAACATTTCGATTTTTGCCTATGGACAGGTATGTTGAATTTGCCTTTGTTTTGTGATGTGTTGTGATATGGAATATGCGTAACATATATGAAAAGTGATTTTTGTTAGACGGGATGTGGGAAAGACTTGTACGATGCGGGGTCTAGCCAACGCATTGTTGGATTGAAAGCATTTCTCGAGTTTTTGAGCGTCTCTTTGCTTGTATAAACGAGGTAAATTTATTCTGTCTTTTGTATTGTTCTAATTTAATTGTATATCATATATATGCTGCAAGCTGTTTGTGGAACTTCTTTCTATGGGAGCAAAAGAAGAATGCTGATAGACAACTCAAGTATCAGTGTCTGTGTCACTATTCCTTTTTTGAGGTAGATTTTTGGTGTAATTGGCCTATTTTAACTGTATAATTTCTTCCATTAACTCATTAACTGATTACAGATTTATTGGATCCTAGTCAAAGAAATACTCAGGTAAGGACTATTTTTTTTCCCTTTTTAGAAGTTCTTCTTATAGTGCTACTTACGAGGGCTGTTATTAACTTTTTTCTACAGATAAGCGAAATGCTAAATTAGGGATTTATGTTGAAAATCTCACAGTGTTTACATACAATGTTAGATGTAAAGCAGCTTTTAATGAAGGTTGCTCTGTAATGCCACATAGTTAAAATGTTTTTTTTAATTAAGTTTTGAAACATTTGACAGTAAGAACCTTTAAAGAAAGCTCGTGTTGCCTTACGTCTAGAAGTTTGCACTCAATCTTTTTCGAACACCCCTGGTGTGCTCTTTCAAGCACCCACGTAGTTGATAATTGCTTCCCCCTATTTCTGATTTCATTGATTCATATTTAGTCATTAATGATTAGAATCTTTACATTCAGCAGCTAAAATAAAACCTTGCATTCAATTAGTTGGACCTATGTTTCTTTTGTTACATTGAGAATATCTCCTAGGGCTAATTACATTTAGTTAAGGTAATATATGGGTGACAAACAGTTTTTTTTCCCTTTCCCTTCTTCTTCTTCTTCTTCTTCTTCATCTTTGGTTACAATAACAATAACAAAAGAGAACGTAAATTGTTGATGATATAAATATATGTCTTCAATTTGCATCTCCAAGTATGTAAAACTTGAAAAAAAGATGAAAAATAAAATTAGTCAAAAGTGGATTAGAAACATGAAGACTATATTAGCTCTTACAAAAAAGAAAAATAAGTCATTATTAAGTCCTGCTTATCTAACGTATTAAAGAAACCATCAAGAGTAACACATTAAAGAAAACATGAACTAAAAGAAATGAAGAGGGAATGGTATTCTTTCAATCTAGCTTGCAATATATCTCACTGATGAAGTTATTCCTTATTTATTGGGTGTACTCTTTAGCATGTCATGATTTGCATCAAAGAATTTAGTTTTTCTTTTGCTTTCAAATTTCTCTCATTTTTCAAATATTGTTTTATTCGAGATATTTATTTTATCTGTTTGTTTTTTTTTTTTTAATTGAAATTTCTTTCTACACCAAATGAGAGAATGGATGACCAGCCATATTTCGTAATTAACTTGTTTATGTCCATCTAAGTACATCTGGCAATTACACATGCAGGGATTGTCAAATCGGGCAGGTGCAACTAGCATCAATGCTTAGAGTTCTGGCTGGCACACTGTTTTCACTTGTGTTATGGAATCGTGCTAGGTGCAGCTAGCCATCCTCTGTTGGACTTTTCTGCTGGTATATATATATATATATATATATTAGATTATTGTTGTTTAATCAGTAATGTTTATCAGATTATCGATATATTATAATTATTTCTTCTCATAGTAATGTTGGGGTACATTAATTAATATCAGACCTTACTTCCGGTTCTAGGCTTTGTGTAAAGTTAGTCTGTTCTCTTCTTTGTTTCCTTCAATTTAATTATTCATTGCTTGATTTCTTTAGTGTATTTCATTAACCCTTGCTGAATACAGATTTTAAATTTGATAGTGGTTGTATGCAGATGTAAATTCACCTCTCTCTCTCTCTAGCTTCATTTCCCCCCCTCTCTCTCTCTCTCTCTCTCTCTCTCTCTCTCTCGCTTAATTTGCTGGGTGTTTTACAGAAACTGTGTGAGTTGATTTCTAAGTTGGCCATATTTTAGAAGCTTTCCTTCTCGGTTAGGATTTTGTTTTCCTCTTTTTTTTCTTTTTTGTTTTTTTTTGGCTATTTTTTTATCATTTTGATATGTTTAGCATCAAGAGCTTTGTTTCATGAAAAAAAAATTTCCTTTTGAGAACGTGTATTCTGGGTTCAACTTGAAAGTGTTGTGGATGATGCATGACTTCTACTTCCATAAAGATTTTCTTTTTTTTTTTAATTTATTTGTTTTGTTGTTTCTTGCACTTGGGTTGCATAACGCCATAAACTATATAAATTGTATATGTGGACAGAAAAGATGGAATTCTTATAGCAACTGAGATTAATTTTTGACAAATTTTAGCCACAATTTTTGATTTGTGATTTAGATCTTTTATGTTGTGAAAGTGAATTTCTTTTGCCATTCACTAGCTTTGTTGGATTGCAGCA